CATGAATAAAATGAAAAGGCAGCCTACTGAATAGAAGAAGATATTTATAAATGATAATCTGATTAAGGGGTTAATATCCATAATACGTAAGGAACTCATACAACTGAATACTGAAAAAAAAAAAATCTGACTAAGAAATGGGAGAGGACCCAAATAGACAGACATATTCCCCAAGGTGTACAGGGGGCCAACAGACATAAGAAAACATCTCAGTGGCACTTCTCATCATGAAAATAGAAATCAAAATGACAAGAAGTATCCCCTCATACCAGTTAGAATGGCTAATCTCCAAAAGATAAGAAATACGGAGTGTTGGTGAGCATGTGGAGAAAAAGGAACACTGATGAGCTGTTGTGGAAATGTAAATTGGTACATCTACTGTGGAAAACAGCATGGAGGTTCCTCAAAAAATTAAAAATAGAAATACTATACAGTCCAATAATTCCATTGCTGGGTATTTACCTGAAGAAAATGGAAACACTGAGAGATTAACATGTACCCTGTATGTTTATTGCAACATTATTTATGATAACCGAGATATGGAGGCAACCTTAGTGTCTGTCTATAGATGAATGGATAAAGAAAATGTGCTGCATATAAACAATGGACTATTACTCAGCCACAAAAAGGACGAAATCTTGCCACTCATGACAACATGGATGGATCTATTATGCTAATTGAAATAAGTTAGATAGAGAAAGACAAATACCATTTGATTTCACTTGTATGTGGAATCTAAAAAACAAAACAAATGAACAAACAAAAAAATAACAGACTCCTAATTACAGAGATACAAACTTGTGGTTGCCAGAGAGGAGGTCTGATTGGGGTGGAGAGGGATATAGGCGAAATAGTTGAAGGGAACTAAGACATACAGACTTCCTGTTATAAAATAAATTATAGGAATAGAAAGGACAGCATAGAGAATATAGTCAATAATATTGTAATAACTTTTTATGGTGACATATGGTAACTACACGTATTGTAGTAAGCATTTCATAGTGTTTATGATTGTTGAATCACTATGTTGTGTGCCTGAAACTAATATAATCTTGTGTAAGCTATATTTTAATTAAAAAAAAAAGCCAGTCACAAAAGGAAAAAAAATATATACCTATCTCATTATATGATTTAATTCTTTGAAACCCAGCATCGTGCCAGATATAAAGTAATAAGCACAACATTGGAGGTATGGTTTCATGTTTTTAGATGTTATCTTGATGGAGAATGCTCAAATATAAGTGTTTAGTTCTGACTTACTTCTAAGCTCTATTCATGTATTGACATGTGTCTTCTAAACATTTACACCTAAATTTGTTCACATGTGTTTATTGAATATTTACCATGGGAGAGGGTTGTGTTATATGTTGGAAAAAATATAGTTTCTGCCCTGTATTAGTTTTCTATTCCTGTCATAACAAATGACCACAAACTTAGCATCTTTTTTTTTTTTTTTAAGATTTTTTATTTATTTATTTGTCAGAGAGAGAGAGAGGGAGAGAGAACGAACACAGGCAGATAGAGTGGCAGGCAGAGGCAGAGGCAGAGGCAGAGGGAGAAGCAGGCTCCCCACAGAACAAGGAGCCCGATGCGGGACTCGATCCCAGGATGCCGGGATCACAACCCGAGCCGAAGGCAGCGGCTTAACCAACTGAGCCACCCAGGCGTCCCCACAAACTTAGCATCTTAAAACAACTAAATGTATTATGTCAAAGTTTTTTGTTTTAGTTTTTTTTTTTTTTTTAGATTTTTTAAAAAATTCAAGTCAGTTAACATATAGTCCATTATTAGTTTCAGGGGTAGAATTCAGTGATTGATCAGTTGCATATAACACCCAGTGCTCATTACATCATGTTCATCACCCTGTTACCTCCTCCGCTCACACCCTTCCCCTCTGGCAACCCTCAGTTTGTTCCATATAGTTAGTTCTTATAGTTTGCCTCCCTCTCTGTTTTTGTATTATTTTACTTTTCCTTCCCTTCCCCCATATTCATCAGTTTTGTTTCTTAAGTTACACATCTGAGTGAAGTCATATGATATTTGTCTTTCTCTATGTCAAAGTTCTCCGGACCAGAGGTCAGACATGGGTCACCTTGGACTATAATCAAGGTGCTGGCAGGGCTGTGTTCCTTACTGGAGGGTCTGGGGAAAAATCCACTTCCAAGTTCATTCAGATTGTAGGTTGAATTCTTTGTAGTTGTAGGACTGAACTCTTCCTTACTGGCTCTCAGCCAAAACTGGTCTTTGCTTCTAGAAGCTGTCTGCTACTTCTCATGCTTTCCTATGAGGTCCCAGAGGTCCATCCCCAGTGCTGACATGTGGGTGTCTATATCTTAGTGCCAGCAACTGTGTATCCCTCTCATACTTCAAATCTCTCTGATTTCCCCTTCTGCCATATCATTTCTGTGTTTCCACTTCTGGCCAGAGATAGTTCTCTGCTTTTCAGGGTTCATGGGATTTGATTGAGCCTACTCAGATAATCCAACATAATCTGTTTTAAGGTCTGTACCTTAATTACATCTGTAGAGTCCTTTTTTGCCAGGAACGTAACATATTCATAGGTTCTGGAGATTAAGGTATGAACATCCTTGGCGACCATTATTCTGCCTACAATATGCCCATGAAAAACTTGAAACTTGGTTGGGAAATAGGCACATGAACAAAAAACGAAATGGAAGGGGTTGGTACTGTATACAGTGGGAGAACAAAGAACGGAGAGAATCACTGTTACTTGTGCTGAATATGGAAGGATGAGTACATGTTTGATAAGGGGCAGAGGTTGAGGGTGGGGTGGGGTAGGGGGAGGGGAACATGTCAGGAGAAGCAGCAGTAGCAGCCATCGCCATAATAGTAACAATGGCTATCGCAAACACTTTTATAAAGGTGACTTCACTGAAATTCTCACAAATGATAGATGCTGTTACTATCTGCCATTATAGCTTCTGCAGATGAAGTTTTAATGTCTTCACTTTTAGAGTAGAAAGGGCAGAATTATGGTATCAGGTAGTTGAGAGAATTAACATTGATGGCTAAAGCATAGAACATGGTGAGTAAACAGTACAGGATAGAAATACTTAGCTAGTAGACTTGGTCACTGGTTATGAAGGTAGGGGACAGGGGAAATTCATAGTGATGAGGGAGCATTTTGGTGGTGGAGGTGTTACATGGTTGGTGGTGTTACTCAGTACTGTAGGAGGAGAAACAGGGTTTGGTTTTATTTCTAGTGGGGACAGGGCTTTGACAAGAGGAAGCGGTGAGTTCAGAAGGCATCTGTGGGAATATTCAGTTGCATTTAAATGAAGACTTACATAGTGTAGGTCAAACACTTATTAAGGAAGTTCAAAGATGAGGTGGTCACCATCGCTTCAAATTCATCATATCTAACATGGTATTTACTGTCTTCTTCTCAGGCTGGTCCCGCATCTTCTCACCATTCTTTCATTTTCCCAAGCTTGACATCTTTTTTTCATCCTTGACTCTCAGATCTGTGGAGGGGAACCCCAAAGCCCTCTTTACAATGTTTGTAGGTGTTTGTGATGTAAATACTCTGGACATGGCCCATTGCAGATAGTGGTTACTTTTGTGCTGCCCTGGCAGAGATGAAGAGCTCCAGCGGAGACCACATGGGCCAGCAAAGCCAAAAATCTTTACTATCTGGATCTCTATAGAAAAAATATGCCAACTTCTGCTATTGTGTCTCCAAAATAATAAAATAATACCATGGTAGAATAATTATCTCTAGTCATTCCTTCTATCCATCAAGATGGGTTCGGGGAAGAAGTAGTCTGAGGGGGCAGTGTGTGAGATCGTGCATGGTCTTGAGGTAATTTTTTGGACTTGGGTTTTTTTTCTGAATGAGAGGAGTGGTGTGATGTAACTTATGTTTTTAAAAGAAAACACTGGCTGCTATTTGGAGAATAGACCATAGAGCAACAAATAAGGAAGCAGAGAAATCTGTTGGGAGGCCATTGTTATAATCCAGGTAAATCTTTGAATCAGGGTAGTAGCTGTGCAAGTGAGTTCACATTTTGGATACATTTTGAACATGGAGCTGACAGGATTTGCTGATGGAAAAAGAGGAGCTAGGATGAGTCTTGGATGAAGAAGCAGTACCAAAAGGGGGTCTTAAGTTGGAGCTTGAGTTATTGAGATCACATTATACCACGTTGCTACATAAGGGATTTTAAGAAGAAAATTAAGACTTTAGCAATGTCTGTAAATTTTTTTTTTTTACTTCTTCTTAACCATATATGTTCCATGAGGAAAAATTCTTTGTGTAAAATAATTTTTCCTTTTAAGCAATATATTTCATTTTTTTAAAAGATTTATTTAAGAGAGAGAGCACGCATACAAGCAGGGAGGGCAGAGGCAGAGGGAGAGGGAGTGGGAGAAGCAGACTCCCCACTGAGCAGGGAGCCAACATGGGGCTCGATCCTAGGACCCTGAGATCATGACCTGAGCCGAAGGCAGATGCTTAACCGACTGAGCCACCCAGCTGCCCCTTAATCAATATATTTTAAAACAAATCCAGGAAAACACAGAAATGTTTCTAAAATATGGAATTTTTAGAAAAGGAAACTATAATAAAACCTTAGATAAGACTGTTAATCCTGTGATTTGGTGGCTTAAAAAACAAAACAAAACACCTATTCAGAAATTAATTTTGGTGGAGTCAGTTCCAGCATTTATCCCCAAACCCTTAAAGTATAGTTTCAAAAACTTTCTTACAAGTCGGGGCTCCTGGGTGGCTCAGTGGGTTAAAGCCTCTGCCTTCGGCTCAGGTCAGGATCCCAGGGTCCTGGGATCAAGCCCCGCATCAGGCTCTTTGCTCAGCGGGGAGCCTGCTTCCCCCTCTCTCTCTGCCTGCTTCTCTGCCTACTTGTGATCTCTGTCTGTCAAACAAATAAATAAATAAAATCTTAAAACAAAACAAAACAAAAACTTACAAGTCAATGTTTCATTGTACTGTGAATAAATTATTACTCATGTCTTTTGTGTAGGTTTTACTTGTAATGGACACAAGGACAGAACAGACATTCATTTTAAAAGTAAGTAGAATTTGTATGTTTAATGAAATTTAGGCATTTATCTTTAAATTATGCTTCTGAAAGAAAAAAATATTTAATATTTTTTCCTGGGTGTTTGGGTGTTATATTATATTTGGATGTCTTATTTGTGGTGATCTATATTTATTTTACTTTCTGTTCTTTATCATAGTTGATAAATATAGCATACATTTAAAAAGAGTTGTAGGTCATAGAGTATGGAGGTAATAGTTTGAATAAGTTGAAGACTCATCCCCTGCTGTTTAAATATATAGTGTATACTTTAAACACATCTCTAATACTATTATTTGTGAAGATTGCATACAACTTACCTTTGATTATGATTATATCCTAAAGAGCTGAAATTTTGCCTGTAAGTCTCTGTTTCAGGTATTTGGGAAAGTTATCTACATCCCTGGTCCTCTTTCTCTCTCTCTCTCTTTTTTTTTTTTTTCAAACTAAATTCAATTTTATTTCTTTGTATAACAATTTCTAACTAAATGAACAAGGAGAGAAAAAACCCTGGATTTGTAATTTCAAAATTGAAATGGATTGTGACAGTACATATTCTAAAATATCCTAATTTAACAATTTCCATAGCATCTAGAAATAATCATTCAGATGAGTTTTATATTTCTTTTTCAGATACTTTTTCTTTTACTAACCGCGTGGCAATAAGTCACATTGACATATACTGAAATGAATTTCTTTGCATGTCTACTTTATCACTGGCATTTCCCCGGATCTTTAAACCAGGCTTTGACACCAGACGCTACCCACACCTAGTTCCTTTGGAGAAACTTAAAGTAGTCTTTATACTTTTTTGACATTAAACTTTCAAATCGCCTGTTTAATCTAGGAATACCTTTTGTGTCTCAGAAATTTGAATCATCTCACAGTGTCTACTGCTTTGAAGGTAGAGATAGATAATATATGTAAAATAAAACTTAAGAAAAGGTCATAGAGAAATAACTGTGTGTCATCCTGATGACTTAGTTTGAGAGCATCTCTAATAAAAACACTGACCCACGTAATTGATTTTAATGGCAGCTTTGTGGCATCTTCCGTTCTCTGGATTCACGCCAGATGCCATCAGCAGAGCCTCCAGGGACTGAGGGGCATAGAGCAGCAGATGAGTGGTTTCTCTGAAGCCCAGAGTAACTCGGATAGATTAGTTTGGTTGATAAACACAGAGCACAGCAGGCTCCAAAGGCAACTGAGGGTACAACTGACCTTTTTGTTCTCTGTCAGGGTCTAAGGAAAAGCAGTGAATACAGCAGGAACAGAAAGACCATCATCCCCCGCTGCGTACCCAACATGGTGTGTCTGCACAAGTACATCATTTCTGAGGAGTCCGTGTTTCTCGTGCTGCAGCATGCGGAAGGTTAGTTTGTGGTTTAAAATTGTTTACGGAGCGAAGAGTGTCATCTCCTTAGTTTTTCAGTGTCTATAATGTCCTTTTTTTACTTCTGTCATTGCGTGGGCAGATAAAACATACGAAACCCATGTAAGAAACCATCCTCTTTCCTTTGCTCTCTTTGAGTTGTCAGGGAAAATGACAACCCCAGGTGAACAGGAGGTTTCATTTGAACTACAGTAACATTCTTAGATACACATAACTACTTACTTTCTCCTAGAATTGAGCTACTGTGATGAGCACGTTAAGGTGAATGTGTGCTAAAAGAGCTAGGTTTTATTTTAGGGATTTTATTTTGTTCTCTTGTTCTCTGCTAAAAGGATACATTAATGTTAGATGACGAAAATAAAAAGCATCCCCTGAAGAATTAATTAATTACCTCCTTTTTTAGAATGCATGGGTATTTGCTTAACATTTAACATTACCTAGTTATCCTGATCTGGGTTTTTACGAATACAGCCATTGGCATCACATATGGGTACAAAGCAGAGGCATGGTGCTCTGCCTTCAAACTATTGATGAAACTTCAGCTCATGGTAAAGGGAACAGGTGGCAAAAAAGTACTATGTTTTGATTTGTTTTTGCCCTTTAACACCTGAATTTAAATAAATAGTCTTTTATTTAGAATGACTGAATATAGCATATAAATATAAATCCACATAATGAATATAGGCTTTTGGCCTTAAGAGGTATTTTTAAAATAGTGAAAAAATTTTAAATTATTTCTCAGGTTTCACGAAGGTGTTATTTTTATTTTTACATTACTGAGAATAAAGAATTGTTGTGTTTTACTAATAGGCATGACATTTGAATTTAATGCATTTTTCCCAGAAAATGAGTCATTGCTTTGTGGAATGAGGTCTTTATGATAACTAATGCAAGATTTTTGACGGGGGCAATAAACTATTAATATTGTTTATTATGAAGTATAGCACAAGATAACTACAGATGGAGGGAAGACCTCCATATGTAGTATTTAATAGGAAATTCAGAAGGGGCTCCATGGTCTCTCAGGTATTAAGAGAGTTAATTGCGTGTGTGAATTGGATAACTAATTCACCTTTGTTCAGACATTATAGACAGCTTTTATCTGAGGATACCAGTGCATTACAGACATTATTGAATTAGAGGTCATGTCATCTGATAGCGAAATACAGCCACCTCTGGTGTGGAACAAAATAACTTGCGTAGTAATAATCCATAATAATTTAGAACAAGGTCAGTAGGATGAATGTAATTATAGTCAATATTCTATTACCCAGTGTGGATTATTCATGTTGGAGATTATCTGTGGCAAATTTTCGATTCTAGTTTGCCTCTGCTGTTGGCAGCTTCTTCCTGCTCATTCTCTTCCTTCTCCAGAACACGCTTCAGTTTTTCTTCTGCCATCTTCTCACTTTCTCTGATACCCCTTAAAGCTGATATTTCAACTGATTTTACTTTAATATTGAGAAAATCTTTATAATCTTTTTGAAAGCCATGTGTCTAGATTTAGATTATCTTTACCAAGCTTCTTTTCCTTTATTGTTGGCCTCAGCTGGCTTTGAATGGCTACATGATTTTGAATTTTGAATTTTGAATAATCTACATGATTATTTAAACTTGGTGGGGGAGGATCTCTTTTTGACTGTTGATTTCAGGTGTCTGCTGCTTGATTTTAAGATTTTATAACACAGAGATATTATATGACAGTGCAAGTAGGAACTGCACATTCATTTAATATTCAGCAAATTTATTGAGCATGTATTATGTACTAGACTCTCTCTTTGGTGAACAAGACAGGAAGAGAGCTTGCCCCTTTGCAACTTACATTCTTGTGATGAGTTTTCAAACAGAAAACCAAAAGCATGATAATACTGATGAATAATAGGGAGTGCACTGGTCTCTAACAAAGTGAGCTTTAAAAAAATGAACACCTGGGGAACTACTTTAGATGAGCTAGTCAAGGAAGCCTGCTCCAAAAAGGCAACATTTAAGAGGAGTTTTGAATGACAAAAGAAATAATCATTTGGATGAAATTGGGAAGCACATTGTAAGTACAGGCATCTGTAAGAAACCAAAGGCAAAAAGGCAAAAACATGAACAAGAAAGGAGACCGTTTGGTTGGAGTGTAGTAGGTGAGGGCAGTCGTGGTCTCTGAGACTCTAGAAATAGGCAGGAGTCTTGTACTGCAGGGAAAGAACTTTGGCTTTTATTCAAGTGCATTGGGAAACCAGTGGGTCTCTAAAGCAGTGGCGAGATCTGATTTACATTTTAAGAAAGATCGCTCTGGCTTTTGTATAGGGAATGGATTATAAAGGGCAAGGAATAGTAATCAGTCAGTGCATGGTCTAGACAAGAGGTGATGATGGCATGGCTTTCTGGAATTCTAGCCGCTGTGCTTTGAGGGTAGGCTCTGGGATCTGTGATAGATTCTAAGTTAGGGAGAGAAGAATATAGGCGACTTTTTTGGCTTTAGCTTGAGCAATCAGGTGAACTTTATGATGGGCGGTGTGCTATGTTTTATATAGTGGTGTTTGTTACTTCTGTGAATTAGAAGTCGTGCATATATCATACACACATTGCTTTTATATGTGTAAATAGCTGTTCCTAAAAATCAGTGTTGAACAGTTGTTTTCTCTTTTATGAATGCTTGAATATTTATGATGTGCGGCTTTAGCTTCCTTATGGTTACAGGACTATTCAAGATTCAGGTAAATCTCTTGGACTCATTTTCCTTCCACTTTTAATTCATTTAATCAGAAATATATTGGTGCTTACTGGGATACAGGCTCAGTTCTAACATGGCAGTGAACAAAACTGATGAAGACTTTGCCCACATGGAGCTTAGTATCGAGAGGCAGAACCAACAAGCAAATACATGTCAGATGGAGATAAGTTCTGTGGTGAAAGTTACATAAAAGAAGGGGAAAGGGGATGCTGAAGGGGTGAGGTGGGAGTTACTGTTTTATCTAGAGTGGTCACTTCATTAAGAAAGGGATATTTGGCCAGTGACCTGAAGAAAGTGAGGGAGGAGCATTGTGGATATGTGAGGGAATAGTATCTCAGCAAGGGAGAACAGTTAGACTTGGAGCCAAGACAACTATCATATGATCTCCCTGATATGAAGGAGAGGAGATGCAACATCGGGGGTTAAGGGGGTAGGAGAAGAGTAAATGAAACAAGATGGGATCGGGAGGGAGACAAATCATAAGTGACTCTCAATCTCACAAAACAAACTGAGGGTTGATGGGGGGAGGGGTGTTGGGAGGGGGGGTGGGGTTATGGACATTGGGGAGGGTATGTGCTATGGTGAGTGCTGTGAAGTGTGTAAACCTGGCGATTCACAGACCTGTACCCCTGGGGATAAAAATATATTATATGTTTATAAAAAATAAAATTTAAGTAAAAAAAAAAAAGAAATAGCAAGGTTACTGTGGCTGGAGCAGAATGGGAAGAGCTTGGAGGTAGGGAGGCAGGTGGGAAGATCCTCTGTGGTCTTAATAGGCCACTTTAGGGGGCACCTGGGTGGCTCAGTGGGTTAAGCCTCTGCCTTCAGCTCAGGTCATGATCTCTGGATCCTGGGATCGAGCCCCATATCAGGCTCTTTGCTTGGCAGAGAGCCTGCTTCCCTTTCTCTCTCTGCCTGCCTCTCTGCCTACTTGTGATCTCTCTCTGTCAAATAAATAAATAAAATCTTAAAAAAAAAATAGGCCACTTTAGGAACTTGACTTTTTTTTTTTTTTAAGAATGAACATGGAGGGAGGGATTCAGGGGCAGAGGGAGAGAGAGAATCTCAAGTAGGCTCCATGCCCCAGTGTGGAGCCCAATACGGGGCTTGGTCTCACAACCCCAAAATCATGATCTGAGCCAGAATCAAGAGTCAGACCCTTAACTGATTGAGCCACTCAGGTGCTCCAAGAACTTGGTTTTTCTTCTGACTAGATAGGAGGTGGTTGAGGGATATTGAGCAAAGGAATGACGAGATAGCAATCACTCTGGCTGCTCTGTGGAAAATGTTGTCTAGGAGGGCAAAGGCAAAAGCAGGAGACCAGTATGGACATTTTTGCAGCAATCCAGTTGAAAATAATTGTGGCTTGCGCAAAGTGTTAGTGGTAGAGGTGGTGAGAAATGGTCATTAGATTCTGAATCTGTTTTGAAGTTAGAACTGACATGATTCTGCTTTACATGCCTGCAAGGTTTTCGGCTCACAGAACTGAAAGAATGGAATTCCCATTTACTAAGATGGGGAAAGCTATGGGAGGGGTGGATTTAGAGGACAAAATCAGGGATTCAGTTTTGGACCTGTGAGTATGAGATGCTTCTGAGATGTCCGGGTGGCATTGAGTAGGCATTTGGATATACCAGGCGGGATTTTAGGAGAGAGATTGAAAATGTTTATTGTTCCTATTAATGAATCCCTTATTTTAACTCTGGAGAAGAAAAGGTGAGAAAATAATTATATTTAGTGCAGGCCACATGCGTTATTAAAACTTTGAGTTCCTAAGAATTAGGGATTATGTCATTTCCATCATCTGTATCCCAGCATTTAGGAGAATACTTGGTACATAGAAGATGCTCAGTGTATAATTGCCTGATACTGAGTAGGTCAGAGAAAAGGTGAAATGCCTAGGTTGGAAGGAATGCCGGCAAGTGTGGATACACCAGATAGGCGGGGGATGGGAAAGAGTTTTGCACCAAGTCACTTGGGGACTCGAGGGGTGAAATGATTCTCTTTTTATTAACTGGTTTTTTTTCAAAAAAATTTATGAAACTAATATATGAAGCAATATTTTTGAACTACGTATAGAAGTATATAAAGTAAAAATAAAAATTCTTCCTTCCTAGTCACTTTAATGCCCAGTTCCACTCTCTAGAAATAGGGGAAAATTTCCAATGTGTATAAACATATACTTTCCACCTGTCTGGTTAAATAAAACGGATCTTACAAATTGTTCTATGGCTTGTTTCCTTCCCCATCTTAACAA